GTCTGCGGACAAGCTGTCCCCTCGTGCTGCTCCTTGCATCTTCCTTGGCTTCCCCCCTGACGCGCCAGGGTGGCAGTTCTACCACCCCACCTCTCGCCGTGTTCTGTCCTCCCATGACGTCACGTTTGACGAGTCGGTCCCCTACTACCGCCTCTTCCCCTACCGCACTCCGTCCCTCCCCCCGCCACCGCTCTTCCTTGTGCCAGGTCCCCCCCCGGTAGACCCCCTCCCCCCTCAGGGTCCTGCCCCTTCAGGTGTGTCCCAGGTAGACGCAGTCGAGCCTGTCGAGGTTACTGGTGACTCTGGTGCTGCTGAGGGTGTTGGGCCTAGGGGTGCTGACTCTGGGGGTGCTGAGCGTGTGGGTGCTACGCGTGGGGGTGCTGAGCCTGAGGGTGCTACTACTGGAGGTGCTGAGCCTGGGGGTGCTGAGCCTGGGGGTGCTACCACTGCGGGTGCTAAGCCTGGGGGTGCTGAGCCTAGGGGTGCTACGCCTGAGGGAGCTGGGCCTGCTCGTGTGGCGTCTGGCGGTGCTGGGCGTGGAGGATCTCCGGGTGCTTCGTCTCGGCGGGAGCCACTCTCTCCAAAGGAGCTGCGCGAGTGGTTTGCCCGGCGCTGGAGGCGTGATGCTGGAGCTGGAGGTTCTTCGGCTGCTGAGGGTGCTGGTGCCGCGGGTCACGGAGGTGCTCCTACTGGGAGTACTGGAGCTGCTGGGCCTGCGGGTACGACTGGAGCTGGAGCTACTGAGGGTGTTGGCGCTGAGGCTACTGCTGTCGGTCCTGGAGGAGGTCCTGCTGGGGGTGCTACTGGTGCTGCTTGAGGTACTGGAGCTGGAGGTGCTGCTGGCGCTGGTGCTGCCGCTGGGGGTACTGGTGCTGTCCCTGCTGTGTCTGGAGTCGCCGCGCGGCCTTGGCCGTACTTCGTTCCGCTCCTTCAGCAGGTTCTTGGTCTCCCGCCTTCTACTGGTCCTCCTCCTCCCTTAGAGTGTCCACAACCTGTCCCGTCACAGTTACAATTACTGCCGGCCTCCCCACTGCCTGCTCCTTCTCCCTACACTGGTCCTACTGGAGGTGTTGCTGAGCGTCGTGAGCCTGCGTCTCGCCCTGCGTCGCCTGTCCGTCCTGCTCGCACTAGTGGTCGTGGTTCGCGTCAGCGTCCTCCTCCTGTCCCTGGCACGCACCGGATGTCTCTACGTCTGTCCATTGCTCCTCTGCGTGCCCCTTTGCCTTCTCCTCCTGAGTCCTCGCTTCCTGCTCTTGCCGACTCCGAGTCGGACTCTCTTCGTGCTGCCAGTCCTACTGTCACGCGTCTCCTTGCTACTGTCTTCACTGACCCTTCCTTTGAATCCACTACAGCGTCTGCCCTAGTTGCTGAGCCCATCGACTTCGCTGCTCGCTGTCCTCTAGACTACGCTGCTAGTCTTGTCGCTGAGTCTGAGTCTGTCTGTCCTCCGTCCGTCGGGGGTGAGTGTGCCCTTGGCACGGACGTCCTTGAGGACAGGCAGGAGGAGTTACAGTGTTTGGCTGCTGCTTCACCTCATCTCGTGTCCGTACTGCTTACCCCTGAGGGAGACCCGGATGCACTTGACATCCCGACTCCGCGCTCTTACGCAGAGGCGATAGAGGGTCCCTACTCCTCTCACTGGAAGGCAGCTATGGACACAGAGATGGCTTCCTGGAAGTCCACAGGCACCTACGTTCACGAGGTTCCCCCGCCTGGGGCGAACATCGTCACTGGCATGTGGATTTTCAGGGTGAAGCGGCCGCCAGGTTCTCCGCCTGTCTTCAAGGCGCGTTACGTGGCTCAAGGCTTCAGCCAGCGGCAGGGAGTTGACTACTTTCAGACCTTCTCTCCCACCTCGAAGATGACCACTCTTTGGGTGCTGCTGCACATAGCCGCTCAGCGCGACTACGAGCTTCACTCTCTCGACTTCAGCACAGCTTTCCTGCAAGGCAGCCTGCACGAGGAGATCTGGCTGCGCCGCCCACCTGGCTTCACTTGGTCGTTCCCTCCTGGTACCCAGTGGAGCCTCCGGCGGCCAGTCTACGGTCTCCGCCACGCACCGCGTGAGTGGCACGACACACTGAGGACTACGCTTGCGGCTCTTGGGTTTGCTCCCTCTACTGTCGACCCGTCGCTGTTTCTGCGCACCGACACTTCTTTGCCACCGTTCTACATCCTCGTGTACGTCGACGACTTGGTCTTTGCCACAGCTGACACTGCTGGACTCGCCCACGTGAAGTCCGAGCTGCAGAAGAGACACACGTGCACAGATCTGGGTGAACTCCGCAGCTACCTTGGCTTGCAGATCACCCGGGACAGAGCACGCCGCACCATTACTCTGACCCAGTCACACATGGTGCAGCATGTCCTTCAGCGCTTCGGCGTCACGTACTCCTCGCCTCAGGCCACTCCTCTGCCTACTCGCCACTCGCTCTCAGCTCTGCCTTCGGATGAGTCCGTAGAGCCGAGTGGCCCGTACCCAGAGCTTGTTGGCTGCCTCATGTACCTGATGACCTGCACACGACCTGACCTTGCATACCCTCTTAGCATTCTAGCACGCTATGTTGCTCCTGGGAGACACAGAGCGGAGCACATGGCTGCAGCGAAGAGGGTGTTGCGCTACTTGTGCAGTACGTCGGGCATGGGGCTTGTGCTTGGAGGGCAGAGTCCAGTGGTCCTCACTGGGCACGCAGACGCTTCTTGGGCTGACGACCAGGCTACGCAGCGGTCGTCACAGGGTTACACCTTCAGCCTTGGTTCCGGCTCTGTTTCGTGGCGGGCTACCCGCTCGTCTTCTGTTCTCGGCTCCAGATGTGAGGCTGAGATCTACGCCGGGGCCATGGCTGCACAGGAGGTTCGCTGGCTCACCTACATGCTGACTGGCCTCGGAGAGCCGCCTCGTTCTCCTCCTGTGCTGTACGTAGACAAAAAGGCCATGCTGGCCTTGTGTCGAGAGCAGAGACTTGAGCACAGAACGAAGCACATTGCTCTCCGCTACTTCCTTGCTTGTGAGCTACAGCAGCGTGGTCAGCTGCGCCTTGCGTACGTGGCCTCTGAGGCCAACACTGGTGATATCTTCACCAAGGCACTTGCGCCTTGTGATCATCAGCGCTTCTGTACTCAGCTGGTTCTTGTGCCTACCTTGCCTCACTTGCTCACCCCTTAACCTTGTTTGTACTGTTGCATATATATATACACCTACTCTTGCTTGTGTAGCCTTATATATATGTAATCGTGCATGTGAACTGGCCTTGTGGCCTTGAACTTGTGCTCGGAATGTGTGGTGACTTTGTGATCCACCCTGAGCTTGCTTTGTTTTGCTTGACTGGTCTTGTGACCCCTTGTTCTCCCCCACTTTGCCTATGGGGGTGTGTCAGATTTATATGACATAGCTACTTTAGGCTCTAGTGGGGTAGCACATATGGGGTACAGCTTCTAGGGTTTGTACTTGTACCCAACTTTCCCTTAGTCATTTCATTCTCATTCAATTTCACAGCAGCAGCTGCCGTTGATCGAGTTCGCGTACACCAACGCCACGTCAGCGACGACGCATCAGTCCCCCTTCTACCTGAACTACGGGCAAAATCATACAGTGCTCATGACGCCGAGTCCGGACAACCCAACACCACGTGCACAGCAGTTCGCCGAAATTCTGCAAGCTGCCCGCACCAGAGCCGCAGAAGCAGTTAAAAAAGCAAACGTCATCGCTAAGCGCAACGCTGACCGCCACCGCCGCCCAGTCACATACCAGTCAGGGGATTACGTACTGCTCGACACGCAAAATCTGCGATTGCCCAATGTACCGAAACTTCGACCGCGCTACTGTGGCCCATTCCAAATCGGCCACATGATCACGCTAGTAACCGCGCACCTACTGTTACCGACCGACTGGTACATCAGCCCATTGTTCCACGTCAGCCTACTTCGCCAATACATCCCAACCACCAGCCAACTGCCTCGTCACCGTCCGCATTCCATGACTCGCCCTGCATCGGAGCCGATCATCGAGCCTGAAAAAATCATGAGCCATCGGATTCGCCACCCCACGGGAATCAGGAGGATTGAATTCCTCGTTCGCTGGAAGGACCGCACGCCAACTGAAGATAGCTGGGTGCCCCTGGCCAACATTGAAAACCACCCTGCCCTGCAAGTGTACCTGAGGAGCCCGGGATTCCGCGATATACACGCATTCGCGTAGCGGAGGGGGCTTCTTGAGGGGGGGGGGTAGTGTAAGGAATTTTCTCGGCATTCCTTACGGAGCCCGACTACATCGCGTACAGCAACAGCCATTGTTCGCCCGTTACTGCTAACGGGACTTCGCCAACTTCGCGCGCACTATTTTGCCAAACCTCGCACTGCTGGCCCAGCCGTGTCGGCCTACTCTTCGGGACTAGCCCGAGCCTCGCTGCCAGCGTAGCACCAGCTAGCTCGCACGCACCGCGGTACCGTTTGCATGTTCACATATAAATGTTCGCTCATGCCTTCGCTCACATCTTTGTACTCGTTTGACACCTTAGTGCAATTCTCGCTACTTAGATTCATTGCACCCGTAACACCTACCTAGGAACATGTCTCAAACTATCATCAAGATCCTATTGAACTAAGGTTTTGAGCCAGAGGGGGTCAATATACAAGAAGCACAAAAGAAACACACCAAGATGAAAGCAAAAAAAAAAAAAAAAAAAAACAGTCTAGAATGAACAAAAAGGGGTAAATAAAAGTCAAGGCACATAAAGTTGTGTGCAGAGCCATACACAAGCGGTCGACGGGGCAAGCTTGGCAAGTGGACAGGAAGGGAAGGCCGGTTCGGCTAAGGTAAAGGGAAGGTTTGGAATATCACAATGCTGGAAAAGGGGTGGAAGAGGCTTCACTTGGTGGAGGATCATGGTGGGCTGCAGTTCCTGCTGCTGTTTCGGCTACTGCAACTGTAACAATTGCTTTACAGTTTGCAAGGGCTGCAAGCACAAATAGCATAAACCATGCAATCATCAACCCTGTCTCTATGATGTTGTCTCTGCTGCTGCTCCTGCTCTGCCATCCCCTGCCTTATCCGTTACAGCACCCTCCTTCCCCCCATCCTCCCCCTTTCCTTCTCCCTCTGCAGCAGCAGCGCCTTCCCCCTCTCCCTTCTTCCCCTCCCCTCCCTCCTCCCCCTCTTTCTTCCCCTCCTTCCCTCCCTCCACCTTTTCCTCCTTCCCCTTCTCCCCTCCCCCCTTCTCCCCACCCACTTTCTCTCCCTTCGCCTTGGCCTGGGCTTCAGCCAGGGCGCGTTTCTGAGCATCCTTGGCGGCCCTGAAGTCAGCCATTGTTCGGAACTTCTCGGTGAGAATCTTCTCGAGCTCGGGGTGCTTCTTGACTTCCCGCGTGTCCTTGTCCTTGCGATAAAAGTGGTACGCCCTGTGGTGTGCCGGGGGAAGGGTGAGGAGTGAGGGATGTATGTGGAGAGGGAGAAAGGGTAAGGAAAAGGTTAGCCATGCGTACAACATTTCACCAGCTCTGGGTGATTCTTGAATTCCCGCGTGACCTTGTCCTTGCGGTAAAAGTGGTATGCCCTGTGTGGGGAAAGGAATTTGAAGAAAACTCAGAAATTGTGAAGAGAGCTCATGGATTGTGACAATAACTCAGAAATTGTGATAAAAACTCAGGAATTGTGAAAACATCTCAGAAATTGTGAAAATGACTCAGAAATTGTGAAAATAACTCCGGAATTGTGAAAATATATCTGGAATTGTGAAAATATCTGGGGGGTTGTGAAAATATAACATGAATTGTGAAAATATATCAGGAATTGTGAAAATAACTCAGAAATTGTGAAAATAACCCAAAAAATGTGAAAATATCTCACAGGAAAAACATCTCTTGGTTCAACTCACCAGTACTTCTCTCCAGCCCATACAGGTTGCCATCCCGCTGGTACATGTCCAGAGTCAGCTGCTCGAACCACCTTGGACCGCCCACCCATCCCACCCCACCCCACCCCACCCCACCCCACCCCAGTCCATTCCATCCAATCTCAACTCACCAGTACTTCTCCAGCCCGTAGAGGTTCCCGTCCCGCTGGTACATGTCCAGAGTCAGCTGCTCAAAGTCGACATACATGGGCTCCTCAAACTTGGACTCCAGCCCATAGCTGGTGGGGGGTAGGAACGGGGGGGAGGAGAAGAGAACAAGGAATTCAAGGGGTCAAATCAGGGAGCTGCGCAGTAGTGTTCTGAGTCGACTCAAAACATGAGTTGTGCAGTAGTGTTTTGAGTCGACTCAAAACACGAGTTGCGCAGTAGGACAGAGTGAGCTGCTCAAAATCAGCAAAGGTGAGCTCTTCGCACTTTGACTCCAGGCCGTAGCTGGTCAAAGGGAACAAAAAGGATGCAAGCGGTGGAAGGGAGTGGAAGAGGGTGGGGGGAGTGGAAGAGGGTGGAAGGGGTGGTTCTTAGGAGATTAGAGAGAGCTGCTCAAAGTCACAGAAATTATTTATAAGTACGTGCAGAAGCGACAGAGGCACTCTTTGCCGTAAGCATTAAAGAAAGCGTAAGAATCACTTAGCTAAGCAGCGGTACCTGTAGAAGCGGAGGAGGCAGGGCATGCCGTAATAATACTTGGAAGTCGCGTCCTTTGAGAGTTTTGAGACATGTCAATAGATTCTTAGCAAACCATTGCAGTACCTGTAGAAGCGGAAGAGGCACTCCATGCCATAGTAGTACTTGGAAGCCGCGTCCTCAGTGGTGAGTGTACTAAAAACTACTAGCAAAGCGAAGCACAGCACATACCTGTAGAAGCAGAAGAGGCACTCCATGCCATAGTAGTACTTGGAAGCCGCGTCCTCTGTTTGTAATAACGTCGAGTCAATTCAAGAGGCATTAGGCACAGCACAGTACCTGTAGAAGCGGAAGAGGCACTCCATGCCGTAATAATACTTGGAAGCCGCGTCCTCCGTGGCGAGCCTCTTGAAGTCGTCATACATCTGCTGGTTGAAGTTCTTGCGCAGGAAGTAGCACCAGAAGCGGAACAGCGTGTTCATCTCCTGAGGATTTGAGAAAGGAGGAAAGGTTGGGGAGAGGGAAAAGGGATTTTAGAAGCGCAGGAAGTAGCACCAGAAGCGGAACAGCGTGTTCATCTCCTGAGGGTTTGGAACAGGCGGTTGGGGAGGGAGGGAGGGAGGGTGCGGGAGGGGAAGAAGGGGTAGGGACCGCTGTGGGCATCTGTTGGTTGAAGTTGTTGGGGGGGAAGTGAAGTAGCAGCAGAAGCGGAACAGCGTGTAAAGGCATGTGATAAAGGTGTTGTTTTGAGACGTCTCAAAACAACACTTTTATCATCTGTTGGTTGAAGTTGTTGGGGGGGAAGTGAAGTAGCAGCAGAAGTGGAACAACGTGTAAAGGTTGTTCATCCCCTACTTGTTTAGGTTCTAGGGTAACAACCTTTACAAACATATCACCCTCACGTCACCCCCAACCAAAGTAGAGTTACCTTCACTTCTAGCGACTCACCTCAGAGCGGCCGCTGCCCAGCTTCTTGCGCTCCTTGAGACACCTCTTGTAGAAGGGACCCCAGCAGCAGATAACAACTGATACAGACTAGCCCATGGGATAAGGCCCTATTCCCTTCAAGTGTCTTACCTCAGAGCGGCCGCTGCCGAGCTTCTTGCGCTCCTTGAGACACCTCTTGTAGAATGAGGAGTACCTGGGGGGGGTGGGGGGAGGAAGAGGAACCAGAGGTGTGCGAGGGGGATGAGAAGCAGGCAACGGACAAAAGGCTTGACAAACGGGACACCTCTTGTAGAATGAGGAGTACCTGGGGGGAGGTGGGGGGGGAGGGAAGGGGAAGATTCGAGGCATGAGAGGAGAGGCAAGAGAGGAGAGGCAAGAGAGAGACATGAGAGGTGAGAGAGGGCAACGCGGGCATACACTTGAGACACCTCTTGTAGAAGGAGGAGTACCTGGTAGGGGGGGGGGGAGGGGAGGGAGAGAGGGGCAAGTGGGGAGAGATCTGAGAGAAGAGACAGAGCAAAGGGAAACACCATTTCTCTGATTCGTTAACAAATGAGACACCTTTTGTAGAATGAGGAGCACTCACTTCTGCTGCTTGAACCCATTCTCCTCCAGCAGCGTGTGACGAACATGCTGGTGCTACTGCCCTCCCGACCCCAGACTAGCCAACAACAGCCCCCCTCTCTTACCTCACTCATACCATGGCCTTCCATGCACCCCACCCACACTCACTTCTGCTGCTTGAACCCGTTCTCCTCCAGCAGCGCGTGACTAACGTGCTGGTGCTGCTGCCCTCCTGAGCCCAGACTAGCCGACAGCAACCCCGCTCCCCCCTTCCCCATCGATCCTACCACTCCCCTCCCCCTGTCCCTGTGCCGCCCTCCCGCTGCTGCCATATGCATCATACTATCCGTAGGGGCAGAACCAGGGGCGAAGGGGAGGGGAGTGACGCCCTTGGGTGGGCTCAGGAGTCCTCCCCCCTTGCCCCGCTTCTGGTCCTTCTCTTTCACACCCTCCTTCCCTGCATCTGCCTCCTTCTCGCTGTCTTTCTTCTCGCCTTCTTTTGCGTCCCCTGCCTGTCTCCCTGCTCCTTCCTCCTTCTCCTTCTCCTTCTTCTCCCCCTGCTGCTGCTGCTGGTGAAGCATCGCCAGCCCAGCAGGCATGCCCCAGGAGCTAGACAGGGAAGAGGCCGCCGAACCACTGCGGTGCAGAGGGGTGAGGCAGGGTAAGAGAGAGGGGTATAGAGGAGTGAGCAGGGGTAGAGCGAGAGGTAGAAGCATGGCCAGCCCAGCAGGCATGCCCCAGGAGCTAGAGAGGGAGGAAGCAGCTGAACCACTGCGGTGCAGAGGGGTGAGAAGCGGTGCAAAGAGCGGCAAGGACGGAGACAGAGGGGTACAAAGGGGCGCAGAGGGATGACCTTAAACCCGAACCCCCGACTCCACCGCATTCGGATGCAGCCCCCCCATCCCTGGCCTCCTAACTCCCTTTTCCCAGCAGCCCCATGCATACACGAATTTTGAGGCACCTCAATAGGCAGCCCCCCCATCCCTGGCCTCCAAACTCCCTTTTCCCAGCAGCCCCATGCATACACGAATTTTGAGGCACCTCAATAGGCAGCCCCCCCATCCCTGGCCTCCAAACTCCCTTTTCCCAGCAGCCCCATGCATACACGACTTTTGAGGCACCTCAATAGGCAGCCCCCCCATCCCTGGCCTCCAAACTCCCTTTTCCCAGCAGCCCCATGCATACACGACTTTTGAGGCACCTCAATAGGCAGCCCCCCCATCCCTGGCCTCCAAACTCCCTTTTCCCAGCAGCCCCATGCATACACGACTTTTGAGGCACCTCAATAGGCAGCCCCCCCATCCCTGGCCTCCAAACTCCCTTTTCCCAGCAGCCCCATGCATACACGACTTTTGAGGCACCTCAATAGGCAGCCCCCCCATCCCTGGCCTCCAAACTCCCTTTTCCCAGCAGCCCCATGCATACACGACTTTTGAGGCACCTCAATAGGCAGCCCCCCCATCCCTGGCCTCCAAACTCCCTTTTCCCAGCAGCCCCATGCTTACACACACGCACACACACATGACTGCACGAGCCACGAGGCATGAGGCGAGCAGCATGCGACATGGCACATGGCACATGACACACTCACAAAGCCTACCTGTAGGAGCCAGGGGGAGTGGCCCCGAAGTAAAACGCCATGAGCTGTGGCGATCCAAAGCTGCTGGTGCTCCGCCAACTGCTGCCGCCCAGCTCCACTGCATTGGGAGGCAGCCCCCCCAGCCCCGGCCGCCACACAGGCACCGGCTGCGCCCTCCCTGCCCCCACCCCCACTGCATTCAATCAAAGGCAGCCCCCCAGCCATGGCCTCCAAACAAACACAACACGGCACATGCACACGGCCTGGCTTACCTGTAGGAGCCGGGGGGAGTGGCTCCAAAGTAAAACGCCATGAGCTGTGGCGATCCAAAGCTGCTGGTGCTCCGCCAACTGCTGCCGCCCAGCTCCACCGCATTCGGAGGCAGCCCCCCCAGCCCCGGCCGCCACACAGGCACCGGCTGCGCCCTCCCTGCCCCCACCCCCAGACCTCCCTACCCTCACTCACCTCAACCCCACCCCTCCCTGGCCCCAACCCCATCCCTCTCACCCTGCCCACCCCTCCCAATCCTCCTACGCACGCACCTGTAGGAGCCAGGAGGGGTGGCTCCGAAATAGAAGGCCATGAGCTGTGGCGATCCGAAGCTGCTGGTGCTCCGCCAACTGCTGCCCCCCAGCTCCACCGCATTCGGAGGCAGCCCCCCCAGCCCCGGCCGCCACACAGGCACCGGCTGCGCCCTTCCTGCCCCCAACCCTACCGCTCCCACTCCTCCCACCGTTCCTGCTGCTCCTGCCGCTCCTCCTGCTGCGGCGGCGGCGGCAGCGGCGGCTGCAGTCATGTGGGCGATGCCGGGTGTCCAGGAGGCACGCTGCTGCTGGGGGTGGCGGGCCCTGGGGCCGCGGGCAACGTGCGAGCTGAAGTTGTCTGGACTGCCGTTGCTGCCCTGACTGCCCACGTGGAACCTGGTCAACGGGAGGGGGGGGGGGGGGGGGAGCAGGGGAGGGGGCGGGGGAGGGACGGGGCAGAAGGAGGAAACGAGGGGGAAGGAGAGGGGGAGGGTATATGTGAGGGGTGGGTGAGTGAGTCATGTGGGCGATGCCGGGTGTCCAGGAGGCACGCTGCTGCTACTGCTGCTGGGGGTGGCGGGCCTTGGGGCCGCGGGCAACGTGGGAGCTGAAGTTGTCTGGACTGCCGTTGCTGCCCTGACTGCCCACGTGGAACCTGGTCATGGGAGGGGAGGGGGTATGTGATAAGTGGGTGTGAGTCGTGTGCTATCTCAGGAGGTTATGGGCAGCGTGCGAGCTGAAGTTGTCTGGGCTGCCGATGCTGCCCTGACTGCCCACGTGGAACCTGGTCATGGGGAGGGAGGGAGGGAGGGGGCGGAAGAGGGACGGGGCGGAAGGAGGAAACGAGGGGGGAGGAAAGGGGGAGGTTATATGTGAGGGGTGGGTGAGTGAGTCATGTGGGCGATGCCAGGAGTCCAGGAGGCGCGCTGCTGCTGCTGCTGGGGGTGGCGGGCCCTGGGGCCGCGGGCAACGTGCGAGCTGAAGTTGTCTGGGCTGCCGTTGCTGCCCTGACTGCCCACGTGGAACCTGGTCATGGGGGGGGACCAGGGGAAGGGGGGGGGGGGGGAGAGGGGGAAAGAGGCGGGGAGAAAAGCGGAAAGGAAAGGGAGGAGAGGGAGGGGGGGACAGGGGAGTGGGGGGGGGGGGGGGGGTGGTGGGGTACGGAAAAGACGAGGGGGAATGCATGACATTTGTGTGCAATCCCCTTCCTGTCCCTGACTCCTCATCTCTCAACCTCCCCTTCCCCCCTCTTTTCATTAATCCACTCCCCTTTCCACTAGCCCTTTCCTCTTCCCGTCACCTGCCACTCCTCCCCCCCCCCTTCCATGCACCTTTCCTTTCCTCTCCCCCTCATCCTCCCCCGTCCCTCCCTCTCCTCCATGTTTCATCCTCCTCTTCGTTCACCTGCCGTGCCTCTCCCCGTCTGTTCCTGACGGCTCGCCCCTCTCATCTCATGCACCTCCCCTTCCTCTTCCCCCCCCTCTTCCCACTTCCTTCTCCTTTTCTCCTCTCCCATGCTCACCTGCCAGGGCCCTCCCCTGACTGCACGCCCCTCCCGTCCCTGACTGCACGCCCCTCTCATAGACCTCCTTTTCCCCCTTTCCCCCCTCTTTCCCTTCCCTTCCCCATTCCCCTTTTCCTCCCTTTTCCCCGCGCTCACCTGCCAGGCCCCTCCCCGTCCGTCCCTGACTGCTCGCCCCTCTCATGCACCTCCCCTTCCCCTTCCCTTTCCCCTTCCCCTGCCATTCCCCTGCCCTTCCAACTTCCCCTTCCCTTCCCCCTTCCCCTTCCCCCCACGCTCACCTGCCAGGCCCTTCCCCGTTCGTCCCCTGACTGCTCGCCCCTCTCCTGCACCTCCCCTTCCCCTTCCCCTGCCCTCCCAACTCCCCCTTCTCCTCTCTCCCCCCTCCCCCACTTCCCCCCCCCGCGCTCACCTGCCAGGCCCCTCCCCGTCCGTCCCTGACTGCTCGCCCTTCTCCGCTGACAGCCTGCTGGCGCGGTAGTTGGGACCCTGGGGATGGGGAAGGGGGGGAGGGGGCGGGGGAGGGGGAGGTGGGAGGGGAGCAAGGAGAAAGGGCGTGTGGTCAGGTGTGGTGGGGTGCCAGGCCCCTCTCCGTCCGTCCCTGACTGCTCGCCTTTCTCAGCAGACAGACAGCCTGCTGGCTGGATAGTTGGGACACTGGGAGGGGGAGGGGGAAAGAGATGGGAGGAGGGAAAATGGGTTGAGAGAGGAAGGAAGAGAGGGCAGAATGAGACCAAGACAGCCATTCAGCAGATAGCCTGCTGGCGCGGTAGTTGGGACACTGGGAGGGGGAGGGGGAATAAAAGGGGAGAGGGTAAAAGGGGGGGAAAGGGGGGAGGGGGTTGGTGGAGACCCGCCCAACAAAGCAACAGCCACGATCAAGTATCTCACCAGGGAAGACCCACCCTCGTAGTTGCTCCCACTCGCCCCGCCCTCCCTGCCCTGCCCTCGTTTCTCTGGTTGTATCCCACACCCTCTCCCTCTCACTAACGCGCCCACACTCTACATGAAGCGAGGTTGTTTTTGAGACGTCTCAAAAAACAACCTCGCTTCCCGTGGCTCCTCCCTGCCCTCGTTGCTCTGGTTGCGTCCCACACCCTCTCCCACTCACTAACGCACCCACACTCTACCTTCCCACACAATCAAGCACCCACACCACACTCTCCCTTCTCACCAGGGAAGACCCGCCCTCGTAGCTGGTGCCACTCGCCCCATCCTCCCTCGCTGCCCTGCATCTCACACCCACTCACTCATACTCTCTCCCTTCTCACCAACGACGACCCGCCCTCGTAGCTGCTGCCACTCGCCCCATCCTCCCTGCCCTGACTGCGCCTCACACCGCCTCGCTGCTGCTGCTGAAACGCACTGCCCTGCCCCGGGCGCCTCTGATAGGAAGGGAATGAGAGGGAGGGGGGAGGAGGGGCGGAAAGTGGGGCTATGAAGCATAAGTGAGCATGGGGGATTGCATTTCGTCGCTCTTCTTGCGCCTCACACCATTTCACCCCCTTACTGCTGCTGCTGCTGCTGCTGCTGCTGCTGCTGGAATGCACTGCCGTTGCCCGGTCGCCTTTGATAGGCAGGGAAGAAGAAGAGGTGGTCGGGAAGAATAAGCACATAGATCCTGTTTTTGAGTCGACTCAAAAACCGACTCATCACACGAAGAAGAGGTGGTCGGGAAGAACAAGCACATAGATCCTGTTGCCCTGCTGCTCCTGCTGCTTCCTCTGCTTGTTCTCCGCTTTGTCAAACGAGATTCTCACTGGAGAGACAGTAATGTGATTCTTATCTGTGTGACAAGAACGAGGTTTTTACCTCAACTGTGTGACAAAAAAGAGGTTCTTACCTGTGTGACAATAACGAGGTTCTTGAGGCTGGGATTCACGTCGTTGAAATCAGAGTCGTCTGTTGTATCCTCCTCCGACCTGCGTGTGGTGGCGTGTGTATAGGCAGGGGGAGACACGCGAACACATGAACACATGAGTGTGAGTAGTGTGTGTATTTGAGTGGGATTCACATCGTTGAAGTCAGAGTCGTCTGTAGTGTCCTCCTCAGACCTGTGAGTGTGAGTAGGGTGTGTTAACGAGAGAGAATGAGTGAGAGTGAGAATCAGTCATTCGTTGTATCGTCCTCCGACCTGTGTGTGAGTGAGTGTGTGAGAGTGAGAAAGAGCGAGTGAGAATGAGTGAGAATGAGAGAGAGAATGAGAGTGAGAATGTCTGTAGTGTCCTCCTCTGACTTGTGGGTGTGAGGAATGTGTGCGAATGAGATCCAATGTGCACGCTTAAACACATAGACATATTAACACAAGTGTGTGACCCATGCATGCATATGGGTGCCCTCTGTCTAACAGCATGTGTGTATAAATAGTGTGTGTGAATGAGAGCAAGTGAAAGGAGGGTCGGCACTGACCCTAAACACTTATTATGTTTACCATCAAAACCAGCACGGAAAAAAAACTTACCTGGCACGCTGCTTCCTCCTGGGCTTGCTTGCCCTTTTCTTCCCCTCCCCAAGCTAATCTCCAACCCTAAACCCCAAGCCCTTACCCTAAACCCTGATTTCCCTTCCCCTAACCTAATCCTGACATGGTAAGAGCCTAGCTCGCACAGTGCTTCCTCCTGGGCTTGCCGGCCCGCTTCTTCCCCTCCCCAAGCTCGTCCCCACTGAACTGAAACGTATCTTCTGCTTCACTCGCCTCAGTCAACGCCTCACTCTCCTCTGCCGCCTCGTTCACTCAACAAGGAAACTATGGCAGCACAGCCAAAGCATCATGGAACCTACCTGGCACGCTGCTTCCTCCTGGGCTTGCCGGCCCGCTTCTTCCCCTCCCCAAGCTCGTCCCCGCTAAACTGAAACGTGTCCTCAGCTTCACTCGCCTCAGTCAACGCCTCACTCTCCTCTGCAGCCCTCTTCCCCTTCTCCCTCTCCCTCTCCTCCTTACTCTTCCCCGCTTCCCCCCCCTTCCCAGCCTCCTCAATCGCTGCAGCCACCTTCCCAGCCAGGCCCGGCAGCGAACCCAACCCCTCGGTTCGGCCCCCCGAACCTGCAGCTTCGGCGGCAAACGCGGCCGAAAGCCCTCCGGACTTGCTAGCTGAGAAGCGGCCGGAAGAGGCGGCTCGTTTCACGCTGCTGCCGCGCCGCTTCCCAACGCTCCTAGCAGGAGTGCCTTCGCGATTTGCCCGCTGCCCTCCCCCCTCCTCCTCCCCTTCATCATCAGCCTCCCCATCTGCTGCTGAGGGGATGTTGCGAGGGGCGAATAGGAGCGTAGCAGCAGGGGAAGAGGGAGCTGCATCGGCACCAGCAGCAGCACCAGCAGCAGCATCAGCAGCGGCATCAGCAGCGGCTGTAGCACCAGTGGCAGCAGCAGCGTCGGGGGTTTCCTTCTTCTCTCCTTCGGGATCTTTTCCCTGCCCCTCGTCAGCGCCAGCAGCAGCCTCCTTCTCCCCCTCCCCCTTCTCCCCTCCCTTCTTCCCTGCCTCTCCTCCCTCTCCTCCCTCTCCTCCCTCTCCTCCCTCTCCTCCCTCTCCTCCCTCTCCTGCCTTGGGTGCGTCCTCTGAGTGGGGAACCACAGCCTGCATGTGCCCCGTGGGCAGCAGCCAGTTGCTCCAGTCACTGCGCCGCCTCAGCTTCTCACCCTGAGAGGTGGGATGGGGTTGGAATGGGGGGAGAGGGATAGAAAGGAGTGGAAGGTAAGATCGAGCGCAGCAGTGGGCAGCAGCCAGTTGCTCCAGTCATTCCGTCGCCTCAGCTTCTCAACCTGAAAGGTTGGCAAGGACGGGCAGAGGGGGAGGGGGAAATCGAGAGGAGGTGACGGCAGAGAGGAGGGGAGAGGGAGCGAGTGTGAAGAACCAGCCTCACTGCTCTCCTGCCCCCTCCTGACCGGGTGCGTCCTCTGAGTGGGGAACCACAGCCTGCATGTGCCCCGTGGGCAGCAGCCAGTTGCTCCAGTCATTCCGCCGCCTCAGCTTCTCACCCTGAGGATGGGAGAGGGGGAGGGGGAGGGAGAGATGGAGGGGAGGTAACGTCAGGGAGAGGAGGGGAGAGGGAGTGAGTGTGATGAATCAGCCTCCCTGCTCTGCTGCCCCCTCCTGACCAGGTGCGGGTAGCAGCCAGTTGCTCCAGTCATTGCGCCGCCTCAGCTTCTCGCCCTGAGGGGTGTGGTGTGGGGGTAGAGGGGGGTGGGGGGAAGAGAGGAGGGGCGGGCAAGATAGGGTGAGCGGGGAGATAAAGAGGGTAGCAGTGGGCAGCAACCAGTTGCTCCAGTCACCGCACCGCCTCAGCTTCTCGCCCTGAGAGGTGGGGAGCGGAGGGGAGAGAAGGGGGAACAGAGGGGAGATAAAGAGGGCAGCAGTGGGCAGCAGTGGGCAGCAACCAGTTGCTCCAGTCACTGCGCTCCTCAGCTTCTCGCCCTGAGTGGGAGGGGGTTGGGGGAAGAGAGGGATGAGGTGGAGATGAGGCGACTTGAGAAAGGACAGAGGCGGCGAGAGGAGGAGAGAGGAGAGGAGAGAGGAGGAGAGAGGAGAGGAGAGAGAAGGAGAGAGGAGAGGAGAAAGGAGAGGAGAGAGGAGAGGAGAGAGGAGAGGAGAGAGGAGAGGAGAGAGGAGAGAGGAGAGGAGGAGAGAGGAGAGGAGAGAGGAGAGGAGAGAGGAGAGAGGAGAGAGGAGAGAGGGGAGAGGAGAGGAGAGGAGAGAGGGGAGAGAGGAGAGAGGAGAGAGGAGAGAGGAGAGGAGAGAGGAGAGGAGAGAGGAGAGAGGGGATACGAGAGATTTCAGAGACGAGAGAAACGAGAGAGGAGAGGCAAGAGTTGAGGGGAGGGAGGCACATGGGATGGGCATACGCCCATGGAGAGCGATACATGTACCTTCACTAGGAGATTGCCTCCGAAAGATTTGAGACACTTCACTTGCCTTCCCCTTATATATTCTAACGGAATCTCTGAAAAAACATCTCTATCATACTGCAATTGGAGCTTATACCGAGACGACTTGAAACGAATGGGCAACCGCCACGTATACGCGCTCTCGCTTCGACTCATCAGCACTCCTTAAATTAAACCGCATGTTTGAAGGTAATTAGTGACTGACATGCACACCGCATACCTGCACTTCCACTGACGTGGAGTTGGCAAGGCAGCTGAGAATGAAGGCCTTGTCTAGCGTGAGCATGCGCACCTGGGGGAAAGGGGGAGGATAGGGGGAGGGGCGGAGGGGAAAGGGGGTGTATAGGGATGAAAGGGGAAGAGAGGAGGGGAGAGTGAAGTGGAGTTGGCAAGGCAGCTGAGAATGAATGCCTTGTCTAGCGTGAGCATGCGCACCTGGGGGAAGGGGGGTGGAGGGGGGGAGTGGGTAAGACTTGGGTAGGGGGTAAAGGAAAGAAAGGGGCGGAGAGGAGAGACTGATTGGAGTCGAGTTGGCAAGGCAGCTGAGAATGAATGCCTTGTCTAGGGTGAGCATGCGCACCTGGAAGGGAGCAGGGGGAGGGGAAGGAGTGGATAAGGGGAAAGGGCGAGGAAGCTCATGGGCGAGAGATTGCTCATGGGCGAGGGATTGCTCATGGGAGCTGACAAGGGAAGTGAGCAATGAGGTCTTGTTGAGAGAGAGTGCATGCTTTGCGTCGTGTTTTGAGTCGACTCAAAACATGACTCCTTACACGGGGGGAGGGAAAGGAGTGGATAAGGGGAAAGGGCGAGGAAGCTCATGGGCGAGGAAGCTCATGGGCGAGGAAGCTCATGGGATGGGAGTTGGCAAGGGAAGTGAGCAGAGAGGTCTTGTTGAGAGAGAGTGCATGCTTTTTTTTTATTCTTGAGGCGCTGCCCTGTTAAAGCTGACTATTGACTTATACTACCTTGCTCAACCATACCGTACTCAAACGCAACCAGCTCAATCTCACTGCACTCAACCTAGCTGCACTCATCCTTACCGCACTCAATCTTACCCTGTTGAAAGCTGCAATAACGTCGACATGAATGAACCCTTCGGCGTCCATCTTGGACCCAAGGACGAGGTCACTGCTTTGCTCAATGTTGCCGCACTTCAACCTTACTGCACTCAACCTTACTGCACTCAACCTTACCCTGTTGAAAGCCGCAATTACGTCCACGTGAATAAACCCTTCAGCGTCCATCTTGGACCGAAGGAAGAGGTCGCGACAGAGATTCTCAATGCTGGATGATGGGGGTTGGGGCAGACAGGGGATGAGGAAGAGCAAAGGAAGAGGCTGCGACACAGATTCTCAGTACTGGATGATGGGGAGTGGGGCAGATCGGGGACTAGTTTTGAGGCGCCTCAAAACTAGACCCAGCTTGGATAGAAGGAAGAGGTTGCGACAGAGATTCTCAATGCTGGATGATGGGGGGTGGGTGGGGTAGATGGGGAACGGGGAAGAGCAGCTACCCACCTCAAGTAGTACTCGACCTGCTTGGTGAGTGCCGTACAGAGGCCCGACATGGGGTCCACCGGGACACCAACACTCGTGAATTCAGCACAACAGGACTGGCAACAAGAGGGTCACATCACATGCAAGCTACGATTCGGAAGGGCCGCTGCAAGTGAGTGAAAGGGCAACTAACCTGAAGTAGTACTCGATCTGCTTTGTGAGAGCGGTGCGAAGGCCCGACATGGGGTCAACCGGGACAGGCGGCATGCGGTATTGCATGTAGTAGGGGCCGTTGGCTGCACGCATTGACACATTGGTGAAACGGGAAAGGAGGGGAGGTAGGAGACACTAGGAGACTTGGAATCAACCGGGACAGGCGGCATGCGGTATTGCATGTAGTAGGGGCCGCTGGCTGCTTGCATTGATGGGGAGGAAAGTAGGAGAAACAGAAGAAGAAGAAGAAACGTAACTGAGACTGATGTGACCATGAGACATGGAATCAACCGGGACAGGTGGAACCATGCGGTAGGGCATGTAGTCGGGGGCGTTGGCTGCGTGCGTTGTTTTGGGGGGAGGGGAGTGAAGAGCGCAGACAACAAGGGGTGCGATGTGACATGACCATGAGAAGTGACATGGGGTCAACAGGGACAGGAGGTGCCATGCGGTAGGGCATGTAGTAGGGGGCGTTGGCTGCACGCATGGCTGCACCCGCCCCTGCCCCCCCATTCACCTTCCACCACCACCACCCGCCCCTGCCCACCGCCCACCACACCACCACAGATTGCCCACAGCTCCCGTCCCTGCCATGCCAAGCTCATTCGCTGCTTTGCGCTACTGCACGCAATGCTCACCTCCCAAGACCATGGGGTACCCATAGCTCCCTCCCATGCCATTGGCCATGGCAGCCGCGGACCTCCTGGGCCCAGCAGCCACGAATTCCGTCAGGGGGGGATCGTCCGCCACCACCACCACCCGCCCCTGCTCACCTTAAACCACCACCACCACCACTACCACCACCCTCCCCTGCCCCGCTCACCTTTCACCACCACCACCACCACCACCACCACCACCACCACCACCCTCCCCTGCCCAGCTCCCACCACCATAGGATGCCAACAGCTCCCTTCCATGCCGTGGCATGTTACTGCACCCAATGCTCACCTCCCACGACCATGGGGTACCCATAGCTGCCGCCCATGCCATTGGCCATGGCAGCCGCGGACCTCCTGGGCCCAGCAGCCACGAACTCCGTGAGGGGGGGATCGTCCGCCACCACCACCACCCTCCCCTGCCCGCGCATGTGCCCCCCGCGCCCGCCCCCGCCCATCCCCCCATGCCCCCCCTGCCCGTGCGGCTTCTGCCCCTGCCCCTGCGCCTGCCCCTGCCCCTGCGCCTGTCCCTGCTGCCCCTGCGCCTGCTGCTGCTGCGCCTGTCCCCCAGGCTGCTGCTTTCGCTGCTGCGCCTGCCCCTGCTGCCCCCCCTGCCCGCGCCCAGCGCCGCCCTGAGGCTTCCCCTCGCCGTTCCCCCCCCTGTGCAGGGCCCACATGCGCGCGCCTCTGGTATCCCCCTCCGCCCACGCCTCCCCCTCTTCCGCCATGGTGCGCCCCCCCGCCCCCCTGATGGCCCCCGCGCTTGTACTGCCCCCCATTCACCTCACGCACGCTCACAACTGCCACGTCAGCAGCGCCAGCCTTTCTGGCTGCGTCTGCTGCTGTAACCGCCGCTGCGCCGCTCTGCTTGTCTGACGTGGCAGCAGACGATTTGTCGCCCTCGTTTGCAATTATAGCGAGACCAGCAGCAGGCTTCGCCTGGAGCGTTGGGATAGACGGGAGGACCGGAGGGGGAAGAGGAAAGGGGAGGTGGGGAGCAAAAGGGAGGGGGGAGAAGAGTGGGGAGAAGGGACCGGGCAGGGGGGGGAGGGGTGGGTTAAGAAGGTACGTGTCTATGCTGATTCTGATTCATGGCCTACACAAGCAACCAAAAGAGCGAGAAGAAACGACGGGGCAGGAAGAAGGAGAACTGAGAGGAGGAAGACCAAGAGAGGCAATAGGAGGAAGATCAAGAAGAGCAACAGGACGAAGATCAAGAAAGGGAACAGAAGGACGACCAAGAAGGGCAATAAAAGGAAGACCAAGAAAGGCAAGAGGAAGACAAGGCGGGGCTGCAATGGATATTGACGATCCCAGGTCAAGGCAATCCCTAAGTGTCCGCACCAACACAATCGCTTTTAATCATAGCCCACGATGGGGCGACATCGTCATCACCAGCACTACCGCCCTTGCATCTCAAATTCTCGATTGGCACTTGTGTCTTCAAGAATCATGATGAAGGAATCTCAAATTCTCGAATCCGCGATTTCTCAGATTCTCATTATTTCCAGAACTGGGCGTATCCTCCCACTTGTGTCTTCAAGCCGAAATTTGGGGCGCTTCAAAAGGATCTTCCCTCGCCCACCTTGTCATCAACATCCCTACCACCAGCACAGCCCTTCCTCACCTGATCCTCCCCACAGTCACACAATTCTGAGAGATTTCCAAATCTACCAACTCCCACCCGCGCACCTTATCATCTCCGCCCGCGCCCTTGCCGGTTTCCGCCGCGCGCGCAGCAGCAGCATCCGCCTCGGAAAGCGCAGGCCACGCCGTCGCGCCTGCGCCCATTACCACCGCCGCGGCCGCCGCCGCCCCGCCCTTCTCGCCGTCCCTGTTGTGCTTGCGCCATGCCTGCTTCGGCGGCTTGTGCTCCTTAGGCTCTTTCCCCTCTTTCTGATCCTTCTGCTCCTTCTGATCCGACTTCCCGTCCTTCTTTCCATGTCCCCCTCCTTTGGAACCCTTACCCTCCCCGCCGTCTTTCGCACCGCCACTAGCACTCTCCTTGTCCTCACTCCCCTTCTCCTTCTCCTTGTTCTTCTCAGAATCCTCCTTCTCGTCTCTCTTCTCCTCCTTCTTCTCCTCCTTTTTGTCCTTATCCTTATGCCATGCCTTGCCGCCCTTGCCTCCCTTCCCTCCCCCTTCCCCCCTCCCTCCACCACCCTTCTGCCCCCCCGAGCCTGCATTACCACCCCTCCCCCCACCCTGCTTCGCTGATTCCGACCCCGCTTTCGTATCCGCCCCACCAGCCTTTCCCCCAGCCTGCTTCGCAGGCTCGGCACTCGCCGGCGCGTCTCCAGCTGCGTCCGAACCTCGCACGAGCGAAGCTAGCCCCTCATCAGGCCCGGGGTGCGTTCGGGCCTTGCCTGGCTCACTCTTAACCACCTGCGCCCATACCCCTTTTCCAGGCTTCCCTTTGACCTGCCAAACCGAGCCCTTACCAGACGCGCCATGCCCATGCCCATGCCCATGCCCATGTCCATGTCCGTGCGCATGTCCGTGCCCGTGCCCATGCGCATTCCCCCCTGCGCCCCCCCCGCTTGCGCCTTTCCCCTCGTTGGAATCACTTCCGGTTTTCTGACCCGCCGCGCCGGCCGTCGCGCTTCCGCTATCTCCGCCATCCCCGGCCTTCCCTGCGCCTTCCGCTGCGCTGGAAGCTCCGGCCGCTCCGGCAGCGGCGTTGCCGTCCGCCGAAGCAGCTCCAGCAGGGGGAGCTGCCGCAGCAGCAGCACCAGCAGCGCCGCCGGATTTGGCGGCGGCGACAGCGCCGCCTTTGCCGGCAACACCGCCTCTACCCCCACCGCTCGATTTGTCGCCGGAGCCTCCGGGTCCCCCGGGTCCTCCTCCATGGCCGTGCGAACGTCTGTAACCACCTGCATTGCGATTCCCGCCGTGATGGTGGTGCGAATCTCTGCCTCCGCGGCCTCGTCCCCTCCAATGCCCCCTGTTGCCATCTCGTCTCTCGCGTGATGTCACCGTCTGCCAGCCGTCCCCCTTGTCCGCATTGTCGGCTGACGCGTCGGCGTCAGAAGCCTTTTTAGGTTCGGAAGCCTTTTCAGCTTCAACGGGCTTTTCAGGCTCGGGAGCTTTTCCAGGTTCGGCAGTGGAAGGTGCAGGGACCTTAGCAGCATCTCCCTCGACGGGAGCGGGTTTGTCAGCTTCGGTAGACATGAGAGGACCTTACTCCTAACCTAAACCAGCTCCGGAATTCCTTTCTATCAGCAGGAAAGAACGGGTGAGGAGAAATCGACGAACTCTGTTATTAAACCCCAGACCCCTGATTTAACTACCCAGCAATTCCTGTTACAACTATTCTTGTAATTTCCAATATGAATCCGCGTCGATGACTGATCTAAATCCACGTTCCTATACCTGTCGAGCTACAGCCAAGAGATGAGAGCTTTGAATTAAACAGAGCACACGAGATAAGCGTCACTAATGCAAGACTCCGTTGCAGTAGCCACTGCGTGGAAAGAGGTTGAATTATTCTATCTTTCTCCTACTTGAAACACAACCCCAAGGCGTAGCAGAGCAGCAAGCAAGGGAGAGAGGGAAACCCAAGGAACAGGAAAGGGAGTGATGATGCTGGCAACAAGGGGAGCAGAAAGTGTAGTGACGCGGGATAACCCAAACCGAACCAAACCAATCAAATTTCGAGGTGGACATGAAATCCCAAGAAAAGTTTGCGAGCTTCGAAGGCCATCATCCACCAAAACATTATCAAAATCCGGTAACCAGGGTCCTTATGAAGCGAGTTAACGACGAAAGCTTCTTCGCTGAAGCACTATGGCTGATTTGGCATCAAACGAACCTGGTTTCTTGTTGGGAAACTATATTTCAGGCCCATAATTTCAGATTTCTCTCAAATTTAGCCACGGGCTCACTCGAAAAGTACTACTTTCTAGAATTTAGCTCACGCGAGGCCCAAAGTATTTTCAAAACTGGTCCTGCGGGGCGAAATTTTCGACACGTGTCCAATTTCGCTTTGAAAAAATTTCGACGGGGCAAAAAACGATAAAACCCCTCGGGAACTAGGGCACATTTGCGGGAGGGATCAGCCCTAAACACCAAGCGGCTCCCCGTGTTTAGGGCTGGTCCCTCCCGAACGTGTGTCTTGGTTCCCCAAGGGGCTCTATGTTTTTTGCCCCCGTCAGAAATTGCTAATAAGAAATAGGACACGTGTCGAAAAGTTTTCCCCGCAGGACCAGTTTTGAACATAATCTGGGCCTCGCGTGAGCAGACTTCCAGAAAGCTGTACTTTTTTTGTCGAATTAAGACTAAATTTGAGATATTTTTGAAACTATGGAGTTGGGATATACTCTCCCTTTCTTGTTTCTTCTGGAAGGAGGTGGGGCAAACCAAACCTATCCAACACCCTCGAGAACTCATACGAATGGCCTTGGCGTCACCGAGCCGAACTCGAAATTCGACTAATGTGCGACGCGAGCATCTGGACGAATGGGATCTCGAGAATGACTCAGCGGAATTTGCTTCGCCGACCTGTCAGCCTTTGAGACGCTAATTTTGGACGCTGGGCAAGTTGGTCTGGTTAGGGTGTGGCTGAGACACCTCAGCAAGCTCACAACTTGAAGTCTGCCAGGCATAGCTCGCACTTCGTTTTTGCGGCATAACTCTCTTCAAATATCTCATAAGGTGAAGTATGGTTCTGCTGGTTTGAGCGAATTGACACCTTCACAAGGCTGAATGCTAAAATGCATCACAACAGAAACATATATCACCACGCCTAGTATACATCTGCCACTCTCTAGCCATTCAGTCCTTTGCACATTCTCAAATACCAAAAACCGCATACATTTTTGGGCACCCAACCATCTCCATGCTCAAGTACTCACCATCACTTCTTTTTTTGGGCTTTGAAGGCATCAACATGTGCATCTACCCAAGCCTTCATGGAAATTGGGGGACGTCCTAAAATATTCTCAAGGGCAGGGTAGGAAAAAAGGAATGAGTTGATTAAAACCTACCAGCTTGTAAAACAGAGTAACCACAACAAGCTTGCTACTGGATAAGTACTTACAAATTCGTAGGAGATTCTTTTACCAAGAGCTCTGGAAAAATCCTCTGCAATATCAGTCGCAGTTGAGGAGGGCCCAGTCAGGGTGTAGGTCTTGCCCTTATGAGCCTTAGGATCAGCTAATATTTTTGCTGCTACCTCCCCAACATCTGCCAAACACAAGTATGGCACAGAAGAATAAGTATGCACCAACTGGATGCATGGTCACATGTATACACATTGCAAATGCACATTTTTTCACCAGAATGCACATTCTTCCGTCAGAACGCACATTTTTGCAACAAAATGCGTGTGTTTTCACCAAAATGGACGGCACATTCTTGCACCTGCAAACACAAATTTTACCCTGGAAACTCCTGGAGACACAATACTAACACAGCTGCGCACCTGGATCTGCATGGTGCAATGGGATTGGCGTTTGTGCACCTGCATTGGCATTGGTGCACCTGCATTGGCATTGCTGCACTCGGATTGTCAGTGACACCACGTACCGTCCACACCTGGCTGAATAGCTTGTCTGGCTCGTACGACGAATAAAACGCTTTATACTCTTTAATCGTCTTTGCGAAATCGTAGTTATTCTCCATAAAGGATGGCAGACGAATGACGGTGTACGGCACGCTAGACGCCTCCACGTGTGCCTCCACAGGCCGGAATTGCCGAGAGAAGATTAAGTCGGGCAGTTCGGCAGTGGCTACTGAGAGGAGAAGGATGAACTGCGACGTGAGGAGAACGAAACGATGGAGTCGTGGGAAACGTAAGCAACGCGTGGACGAAAGGGGAGGAGGGGGAGATGATGGGAGGGAAAAGGTGAGTATCGGATGCAGAATACCCAGTGGTGTCTCTTGAAGAAAGCTAACAGCCACAACGCGAGTGGGTCACCTTCACCTTGGCGGTAAGTGACAGTAACGAGCACCTTGACGGTGTTGTGATAGTAACGAGCAGCTCACCTTGACGGTGTTGTGACAGTAACGAGCAGCTCACCTTGACGGTGTTGTGATGGTAATGAGCAGCCCACCTTAGCGCATGCAGCCTTTGCAGCGTCAATGGCGGCAATGGCGATCTTCTGGCAGTCAGAATGGCTCGGAGCAATCACGAACACGTAGTCCACTCCCTGAAGTGCTGCTGCAATTTCCGCTGCTTTCAGTGGGTCCGCAGCGAGCACTGAGACGTTCGGAGCAATCTCAGTGAGATCAGCAGCGGATTTGGAGGGGTTTCGAACGCCAGCCTTTACGGTGAAGCGTTCGGGTGACTGTCCGAGAGCCTTAAGGGAAGGAAAATCAACCGCGCATGCAGAACACGATAGGAATGCGGGTCAGTGTGAACGCCTCACAAACCGTGAAGGGAATTCAAGTGTCTCTTTGAATGGGGAAACTAAGGATGACGAGAAGCTCTCCTACCTTGAATGTCGTTGAATGGGGTAACAACGGATGACGTCAAGAAGCTCTCCTACCTTTATTTTTTAGGCACCTCAAAAAGAGGCGATTTTGAGGTCCCTCACAATGAGGTAACAGAGGTGATGGCGAATAAGGTAACTAAAGATGACGACAACAAGCTCTCCTACCTTCAACGTCGCCTTGCCAACCAAACCACTAGCTCCAGTGATAAGAACGGTGTTAACCGCCATGGTTCTAGATCAAACTCGACGGGAGAAATAGCTCGAACGGAATTCTGAGAATCTGTCACGTCAGAGTGACAGACAAAGTGGGTCCGGTCGTCAAAGTGGAGTGACGACACTTATATGGAGCGCATTCACGGATCCGGGTCGCGGTTTTTCTTTTTTTCTGACCCAAGTTCGCCGCATGCATGGCTCTACATAACTTTGAATGTGTATTCGCAAATGCGTACCTTGCGCACATGACATAACTCTAATCACATCACGACAACCTGGACTCAGATCTGTGACGTGGCAGTTGATTCTAAGAAGACCATCCAAGTCCATTCGCGTATGCTAATAGCAACCCATAGCGCGTGTGCGTGGAACCTCTACCACCCTAAACCGGTTTAGGCTCGCATTGGGGTCGGGTCTCAAAAGCCAGGTAGACATGTTCCTATCCGCCGTCGATTGCTCTCAGATCCGACGGCAAAAACGTATGCTCTAAACGGCAATGCTTGACCAGGTCGGTGAACTCCAGCACCTTAGCACTCTCTGGTCTGTCTCTCTCTCACTGACATTGGCGGTGTTCGCCAGCACTTTTGAAAACAAAAACGACGGGATCAGGAAGGTCAGTCACGCCTTCCTGATCCCGTCAGTTAGGGTTCGTTAAGCGCCGTCAGCCTGGTCAGCCCGTAAAATTCGTGCCGAAGCTAGGATGTCGTCCGAGCCTAAAGCAATCTGCGGCGCCTGGCGAACGCTCTCATTTTTCTCAATTTTCGGAAGGAAACATGGCATTCGGAAATGGGGACGCGACTTCCTCCCCAGGCAAACGTCCCGTCTCATGCCATCCCGTGGCAATCCACCATTTCACGTGGACCGCCGTGGATAGGCGATGTAATTGGCTGTCGGAGGAAGGTGGGGTGTGGGGTTCAATATGCGGTTGTGAAGTTTCTCATGTCGGGGCTGGAAAGCTCGCGGGTGGCATTTCGCCCAAACCTTTTCGGAGGGCTCCGACCCCGCTTCCTGATGCCATTGCCAGTCCAATGCCTTCCATTTTCTTCCAATCTCAAAGGTGCTGGCGAACACCGCCATTGTTCTGCAGCCATCTGGCGGGGTGGCAAAGGAAAGTGCAGAAGGTTTTTCGCCGACGGTTCCGGATGACGTCATCAATACATTATGACGTCATTTCAGGGGGACCTTCCAAAAAGGGACAAAGCTGCTCAGGGGAAGTGGCGAAACACTTGGCT